TCTACGCGCCGCCTTCTTCTTACGAGAGCAATATCGCTTTCTAGAGATATAATCGTTATTGCGCGTTACGTATTGTGAAAATAACTCAAAAATATTGTATCACATAACCGTCGGCGTGAGACATTTTAACAAAGTGTTCAAGTAACTAATTTAAACTAAACTAAGATAAGATAATTTAAGTTAAAATAAGTTAAGTTAAAACGGTGTAATATATAAGATGGTGTAGTGGAGATATATGGACCGTTTATTTTGAAAGTGGTGTAAGTCCATTTTCTTTTGTTTCGAGAAACTTATAGGTTAACATATCTGTCAATTATGAATTACGTGATATCTCTTTTTTTTTCAAAAATGGACTTACACCACTTTCAAAATAAACGGTCCATATATGTGCGCATATGTAATATAGGAAATATGTCTGTGAGGTGGGATTATACGATTGCGTGATTGTAAGATAGTGAGAATTAAAATTAAAACCAAATTGTGACATTCTGTATATTTTATAGTGTATATTTTATAATGTAGGATAGGTAAGAGAAAGAGATGAGAGAATAGATAGAGCAGGTCAGATCAGTAAGGATAATAGCAAGCGTGCACGAAACAAGAAATATGAAATATGATATGAAAAGAAACAAAAGATGTGTTGTAAGAAAGATGTAACCAAGCTCCCTTCTTGGCCGTTAGGCTGAAGTATCAATAAATAATAATAAAAAAAAAAAAAAAACAGTGTTCAAATGAAAACGTTGTTAACATATTGCGACGGTGAGATAAAATTTTTACACCGGCGTGAAACAAAAATTTGGTTTTTATCTCTATGTATGTATTATAAATATTTATCTGTATGTGTATTATAAATATATTATTTCGCGGAGCGCGCGAAAGCTGGCAATATTTTTACGCGCGTTGACAACATAAATATCACTATGGTTATTTGCATTATGTTTCGTGACGAGTATAACCAATATTTTGTTTGCTGCGGATCTACGTCATTTAACTACTTTTTGGTTTTTTATCCGTTATTTGTACGCGCGGTGTGTGTATATATGTATACATTTTCGACGCGCGCATCGCTCGCGTCGGTGACGTTAGCGCGGAATGTATTTCAATAAGTCACGCGCGATTTAATTAACTCGCTACCGGCACGGGTCGGCAACGAAATGATGATTCGATGCTTGTAATTCCGGCGCATCCGTGAACCCCGGATGCGCATTCTGACCGAACGTAATTTATTCTAATTAGCGTTTGTTACGTTAAAGAGTAAGCTGTTCAAGCTGTTTTAAGCGACCGAGTTTTTAGCTTTAGGAAGAAAACGAAATGTTGATCTCTATTTCCCAATCGCGCTCTTTTACGGTAGTAGACGGCGTTAATTAACTTCAAGTTGGCATCGTGTTACAAAATACGCTCTTATTCTCCGTCACCCTTTATTCTCTCGTAACTTTATTAGAAACTCGGATAAAGAAAATTATTATGGTAAATCCCTCGGCACGCTGTTGTAAGTTCAAAGTTTTTCACCTTTCAAGACACAAATGTGTATATATATATATATATATATATATATATATATACACATAAGTATATATATATATATATATATAAAATTTATATTTATATATATAAATTTTTTTTTGTAAAGAAAGTACCGACGTAACTTTTCAAAGTGTAAGCAAACAGACACGAGCGTTCATTGGAGCGACACACGCCAAACGAACAAATTACATATCCTTCTCTCGAGAATTCGTTGACGCTAATCGAAAGGCGAGTTAATCAACGATGGCGATAACGAAAATGAAAGCCGCCGGCGAAGTTACGCGACAATGTGTCTCCGTCTAAACAGAGGGATCTCGTAAGTCGCAAGCCGATTGAATTAACGAAGCGCGCGATTATTAGCAGGTAATGGAAACGTCGTCCGAGAAGTGTTAATAATTCCACGAGTAAGTGGGACGAGGCGTTTGCGCGTGTATAGTTGTTCGTATATCCGTTGAAACGATACGAACTCTGTCGTCGTCTTCGTCGTCGTCGTCGCTCCGAGTTTCTTCGATCGGAGGAAGAGGATCGCGCCTTCGTAAACTGTTTTCTCGCAGCGAGAAAATGTATATGTGCGGTAAGTATATATATATATAAACTTCGAAATTCGTGAATTCGCGCCACGCGAGGGAAGCTGGGAGCGATTCTAACGTTCTCGCACAGTCAATGGAGCGTGGTGGAAGATACGTGATTAATTAACATCGTAACGACGACGACGACGACGACGACGACGAGATATGTGCGAGATAGGTAAGCAGCTAATTTGCGTCGAATCGAGTGTACTATTACTTCTCTTGTTGCAAAACTACTCCAGGGAAGTTTATCCATAGCGCGTTGTCGCGTTTCCGATCACCGCTCGATTAGAATGATGATAGAAATATTAATAGAAAGCGGAAAGAAAAGCAAAAATATATAATTCTTAAATGTTGCACAAGAATTGATCGCATATACATCGACTCTTTTTTTTTGAAATTTGTTTTCGCTGTTTGTAATTTATACAAACATCGCGTCGTACGCCGGTCACTCGCGCATCGTTTATTCAACAAGCTACGTGTCGAAACGCAAGAAAGTGCAACGATCCATTTCAAAGAAAGAAAGAACTTTTAATAACAGTATTAAGAAAAAAAATGGAATAAGGAATCAACGAATCGAATTTTCCTCTCTCTCTCTCTCTCTCTCTCTCTTGCTCCTCCTAACGTAATAAAATTATACAATCGAAGAGATTCCTCGAACGCGACTGTCTTTTTTTTTTTTCTTCGTAATATTTTCTCGTTACCTCAGGGCAATTCTTCTTTTTTTTTTCCTTCGGCACGGAAACAAAAAAAAAAAAATGAATGAATCTTTGATAATGTGAAAATAAACAAATATGAAAACCGAATAAAATAACCTTCGTCAAATCAAATATCGAATCAATATTGAATTTATTTTCACTAATATAGGCGTGAAACACCTACATATGTACATTTTAACGAATCGATCATGGTACATCGGACTAAAGTTGCACAACACTTCGTTACTTATCGAATCAAGAATATAAATTTTTAAATAACAAAAACAATTTTGTTCACAGCACGCACGATACTTCACTGTAAATGATGGTTGTACAAAGTTATATACCATTTTTACTACACGGTCGATCTTGGTAACCAACACCCATACGGGGTTGCAGTAACCGTAATACAGTTGACGCGTTCACGTAGGATGTGATCGTAACATTGAAAAAACAAAAACCGTGTGCGCCTGTATATTGCCCTCTCTCTCTCCCTCAACGAAATGTCGCAGTGATCCTTTATAAAATAAACGATATTTTCACGCAAACTATTACCCGTGGTGACTCCGGAGTCGCGCAATTACTCGCAATTACAAGAGAACCGAACGTGCAAATCCGCGCGGCGCCACACACAGATGCAAATAACGCATCTTCTCGATTTGTTTACCAGAACAGGAGAGAAATACGGTAGAAAATATCGCAATAAAAAAAATTTAAGAAGCACCAAGATTGGAGGAAGGGAGAGAAAAAAAAGATCATCACAGATAACTGGAAAAGAGTAAGTTGGAAACACACACAGAGGTGCATCGCGTAAGCGAACATCAGACTTTCGCCCGCTCATATTTCTTTTAGTGTTGAATCAGCGACGTAACGCAATTACCAGAAAGAAACAGTTTCTTTTTGTGTAAAAAAAAAAAAAAAAGAAAAAAGCATTACCGACGGGCAATTACAATTAGATAGATTTCCTTATTTATACACAATGCTTCTTCTTTCGCTTGATTGAGAAAAGTTTAACGGAGTATAGCAATTTTGTATTAGTAGGTTTTGCAAAAGTTTTAGAGTTAAACTATGCATGTTACGTGCGTGACAATCGTTCGCGTGTCTAACGCGAGTTTTTCTATACAATCGAACAACGGTCAGTCTCTTTTTTGTTTTTGTTTTTTTTTTTTTTTTCTACTTTGCACAAAATAGCGAGAGCTCGATCGTATCTCGATCTCATTACAGGTCGGAATATTCTATTTTTATCTTCTTTTTTGACAATTTGCTTTTTTTTTTTGACGTCTTAGAAATTAATGGAACTCAAATTGACAATCGAGAAGCACGATAAAAATCAATTTCTGAGAATTAGTCTATAACGAAGTAATATCTTCCGACTGTATCTACACTCCCTCAAATATAATATAAAATATATATAGAGTTTCAATATAAAATATTTTTTTTTTGTTGAAACATATTTTCTTGTGTAAAAATGATTGTATGAAGCTTCAAGAATTTTCAAATAACAATAAACAAAACATATTTTCTTGTTGCAATTGCTCACAAAACATTGAGATAATATTAATCTATATATATATATATATATATATATATATATATTACAGTTATTATATAAATTTCCATTTCCGAAAATAAAAATACTATCTTGCGTGTCATATTGTTTTGCATTTTGTAATATCTGTTCAAAATTGCAAATCTTTAAATGTATAATTTACAAAATGCATTTTTTGATTGCACCAAATACTGCTCTCTACTGTTTAAAATATTATTGTAACTTTATGTTGCAAAATTTTCTAACTATATTTCAAGATTAATTTTAATGTTTAATTTAATATATTCCATTACACACATACACACACATGTATATCGTTAATAATAAAAGTTATAAGTGTCTTGTAATTACACCGGAAATATATAGAAGAGAGAGAGAGAGAGAGAATAAATTTTTGAAAAAAAATTGAGAAAAAGAGAGCTTAGATAACTCTATTTTGTAATTCTCTCACGCGGTTCTCCAACTTCAACGATCGTTTTACTTCAGAGAAATGTTCACGCAAATGGGATGCAAGTTCAAATATTGGACGACATTGAATCAAAACAAAATATAATTTCCAATAATCTTTTGTGTTTACACACACACGTATGGAAAAGAAAATGTATTGCGTTGCAATTTTCCTCGTTTCTTCTAAAAAAAAAAAAAGATTCGTTTACTCACTGGATAATCGTCGTATTTAGCCGCATAATCGAGATAGTCAATGTTCGGGATGTCGTTGCCCACGGTGTTCCTCTTGCCGATGACACGTTGTCCAAGATTACCGGTGATCATCGGTATCATAGCTATTACAATCAACGAAACAAAGCCGATGCCCATATTAATCGCGTGATCTTGAAATCTCTTGCCGCCGAATGATGATCGCTCGCTCGCCCCGCGCCGATAAATTCTTCTTTCTGTCTCTCGACTTATGACATCCGGAAAAAAAAAATAGTTTTCAGGAAGAAAAGAATCGTTCGGTGTCCTCTCAGATGTGTCGTCGGCTTTGCGTATGTTGGTTGGAGATGTGCCGTGCGATCGTTCAATTCAGAATTCGAAGTTTCGTTCTCGAGAAGAAAAAAACTCGGCCGGATCCTTTGGCCGCAAGGACACCGCAGAATCGGCCACCGAGAGAATGTGTCAGAACTTTAGCTTAAGTTAAAGTTCGCCGTCGACAACGCAATATGACGCTCTCGATTCCCAGCGAGGTCCTATATACTTCGTATCTGCACGCGCATCACGCAGGCGCCCCGGTTGCGACTTGTCTGTGGCGTGTTCTTGTTACAGTTCCGACTGCTGCGGTCGCACTGAACTTTGGAGAAATATTGCGCATATTATTTAGATTCTTTTCGTTCTCTTCCCGATTAGATATATATATATATATATAACGAAAGATTTCTCCTTTTAACACGTTAAGCGCGGAGTCGATTTTGCTGTGCTTTTTCTTTTAGGCGGCGTGCCGGCGCGGCGGCGACTCACACTCGACTCGAGTACCTATTGGGTTACAGAGTACGGGAATGGCGGAAAAGTTCACTGTCAGTCCCCAGGAACCGACGCCGCCTAAACGAAAAGTTCACTGTCAGTCCACTGTCAGTTAATTTCCTAAAGACTACAAAAGTTTTCGCGCTTGTTATCTTCCGGCGTCTATCGAGATAACAGAAGAAATAGATCGACTTTATCAAGTTATACAAGCCGTAGACACTCGTCTTCTTCAATAGAAGACAATTAACACATTTTTCTGTTCTCTCGCGTAATAAGTATAGCATTTCTCTTATTCTGTGATGCGTATATAAAGTTTAACGTAAATGAGACTTGAAAATTCTGAAACACACACACTTCAGAAACATATCTGGATTTTGTATAAAAAATCGCCATAAAATATTATTTTTGTGTCTTCTTTTTTTGCTGAAAAATGGTTCAAATCACATTTCTCGTGAAAAATAGTACGGTCGACTGCTAACTGAAGCTACGAAAAAAAGTCAAGTGGTAGCAAATTATTTGATTATCTTTGCTGCTGGAGAAAACTAACCAATACCGTCGCACATCGTCTCTAGAGCACGACTTTCGTACTTCCGAGAAAAAAAACTACTTATGGCATAAAAGTAAAATCTCTTTTATGCTACTTTCATTCGCCTCTTGTTTACCTCTCTCTGTTTTATTCACGACTTAATTCTTGTTTTTGCAACGCGACGCACAATACTGTTTTTATTGTTTCGATGTATATATATAAAAAAAAAACAAAAACAAAGAAAAAAAAACTAATTTTGTTTCCTCGATGAATCAAATTACAGTACGGTGACGTCGTTGAGTTAGTGGGCAATTATCACTTTAGGTTTTTGTTTTTCGAGTAACCGACTGGATACTCTCTCTCTTCGCGCGCGACTCCCTGTAATTTGCAGTTCGCGCTTCAACAGGTACACACGGATTCTCCTGACGCGGGTTCAGAGGAGAGAAACAGGAGCGCGACGAAGTCGATGATTGAGTGGGAGAGATAATTCTAGAGCGAGGGAAATGGAAGAAGTTCTATCTGTGCAACGTTACAACTGTATTTTTTTTAGTAGAATTATCGATCTCTCAGTGTTGTTCATAAAACTTGATAAAACAATGCGTTTTCGTATTAAAGTGAAAGAACGACATTCGAGTTACAGGCAAGAATTACAATCTAAAATAAAATTATCTCTTTTAAAGAATCTTTTAAGGCTCCGAAGTTTCCAAACTAATAAATATATATATATATATATATATATATATATATATA